TTTGGAAGACTGCTTCCTGCTATAATGATCTAGAACTGCAAAATTACTAGCCTGGCATCACCTGCCACATGATGAGAGACAAGATGTCATAGGACTAAGTCAGGATTACACAGAAACAAGTGATGAAGAGGCAGACTCAGCTGGTACATTCCTGAAATCATCCCATCGAGCCCTGCCTTCAGTCATACCCAAGAAATAACCCTTCTCCTTACACTTATGTGAGTTACCTAAGCCATTAAGCTTCTTTTGCGTAGGCTAGTTTCACAATTAAGAATCTTAATTATAGCCGGGCACTGGTGGCTCATGCCTGTGACCCTAGCAACTCAGGAAGCTGAGAGCTGAGGATCACGATTCAAAGCCAGCCTGGGCAGGAAAGTCCATGAGACTCCAATCTCCAATAAAACTACCAGAAAACCAGAAGTGGTGCTGTGGCTCAAGTGATAGAGCACTAGCCTTGAGCTGAAGAGCTTAAGGGACAGTACCCAGGCTCAGAGTTCAAGCCCATGACAGACAAAAAAAAAAAAAAAAAGAGCCTTAATTACTTCATCCATTGGAAGGAGTGCATAAATGTACTTTTCAATACTTGGCTTCGTTCCCTGAATATTGTTTTGGGGATTCATCCATATGATATGTGCGATTATTTACTATCATTTTTCGTTATTGTACCATATTCAGTTTTGTGACAAATGCCACCATCAATTTATCATTTTCCCCTGTGAATTGGCCTTTGAATAGTTTTCCCTTCTGGCTTTTGGAGTTTTTGAGAACAAATCCACTCATTTCTATTGGGGGTAGATGTAGAACAGCTTGTATGCATGCTTGGCTTTCACAGATACTGCCAAACAATTGTTCAAAAACAGTTGACTTGGTTAACCTACCACAGATCATTAGGAGACATTGGGTGGTGCATCCTGACATTACATAGAATTTTCTCCATTTGAGATTTCAGATATATAAAATAATTTCATAAACCATACATCTTAAGATGCAAAGTTCTTTTTTTCAGTTTCAGATTATTACTGTTTTGTTTCAGAGTAATTTCAGGTTACTGGAAGGTAAAATTGTAAAATGCCCTTTTACTACTTGCTTCTTTCCCTCAGACTGTGGCTACCCTCTGGGGTGGCCTTGATTAAGCTACCGCCTTGTTAGAACAAGTTAATCCAATAGCCAGACTCAATTAAAGGTTCTTAATTTCACTTGAGTGTTTCTCAAAAATGTTAATTACATCCTTTGGTCTTGCAAACAGGCACATTCCTCTCCATTTGTAGAACCTGGAGAGGCTCAATTGTGTACCACAGGCCAGGAAAATTTAGCATTCAACAAATAGGCTCACTTTAAATGAAAATCTAATTTCCTATGCAAAGTCAGTAACCCAAACACAAGAAACAGAATTCATCTTATTTCTTTTATGTCAGCTGCCTAACTTTCTTTACATCTGGCTTTGAATGTTTCTACAAAGGTGTTTCTTTTGTTTTTGTTTGGTTGAGAATAAGAGAAATGTTGGATAGAAAATAGGAAGGGGAAATGAGTATACTCACAATGGCTCTGATTACTAGCAGACCGGGTGAATGCTTGTGATCTGACAAAAATGATGACGTGGTTGGAATTCTATGAGCCATTGTCATCTTTCTCCTCACTCTGGTGATGCAGACCATAACCCCTTGGCTTTAAATGATAAATTAGACTATCATCTACTTTTTTGCATTTTTCCCTGTACTTCTAGTCCACAGGATTTGTCTGTAATTTTTTTTTCAAGTTGCCACAAGTCTACACAAACTCTGCATATAACTGGACTGAAGAAGTTCAAACACATTGTTCAGGGTCAGCTGTATCCACTCAGCAATGAGAAAAAAATCAGAGATAAATAAAAGTGAAACTCTGATTTTAAGTAGCTCCTGGGTTAGTGGGGACAGATATGTACATATCTGGCTATGAGTGCTACAAAAACAATAAAGTGAGTATTCTATAAACATTAAAAGACTTTTATTGTACAAGTAAATGCAAGACAATGAAGTCTTGGTTCATTTTGTTACCTTTCCTTAAAACTATAGTAGTTGATTCAAGTGAAAATGTGATAATCTGATGGAAAATAGTCATCTTCTTCACTCTTTGTGTTGGCTATTGGTTTTGGTTTTTAAAGCTTTGGAGGTTGTTGATTTTCTGCTTTCGTAGTTCTTCATGCTGTCTTTTACTTGGTGCTTTTGAGTGTATAAGCAGATGGTTCTTGGATCAGAACCATTTCAAGGGTTTTTCTTCACTCTTCCCCCTTATCCCTCCCTCCTCAATTGATCATTTCCTTTGTTTTGCTTCTTGCTTTCCAAGAATGAATTAAAATGGTATTTCTTGCAACTTTTCCTCTACCTTTAGTTTAGTTGACATCTAACTCTCGCCCCTAATTTCTGGAAGGCTTATGTAGGTATACCGTTATTTTCCAACTTTCCAATCTCTATTGCTTTAAAGCAAACCCAACCTTCACAGGTGAAGAGTGACCTGCAAACCTCTACCTCGGCTTCCTTTTCTCCACTGTAGGCTCAGAAAGCAATCAGCCTCACTTCATGTGTCCATCCCACTGTCCCATCTCCAGCCTGTTCAGTCAGCGCTTATTACATTTATTTAGTTTAGCTGGGCACTGGTGTTAGCCACCTATAATTCTAGCTACTTAGAAGGCTGAGATGTCAGGATTGCGGTTCAAAGCCAGCCTGGCTAGGAAAGTCCGTTAAACTCTTATCTCCAATTAACCACCAGAAAACCGGAAGTGGTAGAGAGCTTGCCTTGAGCTGAAGAGCTCAGGGACAATGCCCAGGTCCCATGACCAACAATAAATAATTTTGTGTACATTATTTTTATTCTTCCATATGTCCAAAAATACTAGAAAACTAACAGTTCAGTAGATTGGTAGAGGGTACACCAATGAATTCCCAACCTTAACATGCATAAGAATGACCACAGGGTTTTCAATGCAGATTCAGACACAAAGCTATAAACTTTGATTTATTAGCTCTGGCCCTGGGATCTGGAGATGGTGGTTAACAATCAATGGAGTTGATTTTCTGCTGCTGCAGGTGGTTTGGGGACCACATTTTAAAAAACTTCATTTAGTATGTCCCTGCTTAACAGGGACATACACAAAAAACCCCAGGACTGAAAAGTTGCAGATCCATGCCTGGCTTTTGTCTTCATGCAGAGAGATAGTACTGGCTGTCAGTTCCTCTCTCAATTTTTAGGGAAGTTTTAGATTTATAGAGAAAAAATTTACAGAAAAATTGAGTGAAAAGTATTGAGGATTCCCATAGATACCACTCCCTAAAGTCCCCCATATTCTACCTATTCATTCCTCCTTCCTGTCCAAAAATCCTAGGATTCCAGAATGGCATACAGTTGGAGCCATAAAATACATAGCCTGTTTTGACTGACTTATTTCATTTAGCAATATGTTTTGAGAGGTGGGGGGGTATGCCGTGTATTTTTTTCTTAATAGCTCATTTCCTTTTATTGCTGAGTCAAAATAAGTGGAATAAATAATATTCCATTGTGTCACCGTTTCCTTATCTTTTGCCTATTGAGGGATATCTTGATGCTTCCAAATATTGGTGATTGTGTTAGTTTTCTATTACTGTAACAAAGACATGAACTAACACACAAAGAGGTTTATTTTGGCTCACAGTTTTGGAAGTTTCAGTACCTTAGGATGGTTCCAGTCTTTGAGTCTGTGGAGAGGGAGAGTCACTGGTCAGGCTCCCAGTGACCTGAAACTTCCCAGTAGGCTCTACCTCCTACACCTTCCACCACTTTCCCAAAGTGCCACTGACCATACACCAAGCCTTCAGCACATGGCCTTTGAGGGACAGTCCAGTTCCAAATTACAACCGCAATGATGAATAAGGCTGCTATAGATATTCACAGGCAGGCTTTTGTCTGGATATGTGTTTTCAACTCATTTGGTTCAATACAAAGGAGCACAATTGTTGGAAACTAACAGACTGCCTTCCAACGTGGCCATACTACTTTGCATGCCCAGCAATGAGCGAGCACCTGTTGTCATGGTATTTATTTGAAGTTTCTCTAATGACACAGGATGTTGAGCATCTTTTCATATTTTTCAGTTTTTATTATTATTATTAGCATAAGTTAATAGTATAAGGAGAGGGCTGTGATAATTCCATGGAAAATGAGCCATTTTTTTGTGTTTCTTTTAGCTCTAATAAATGTTCTTTCTAATTAACACATGTTCACATCAGATAGTTTAAGGAAGCATAGATGATTCACAAAGAAAGAGAGAAAAATGAAATCATGCATAATCCAAAGACAACTGCTGTTACTATATAGGCCAATGCATTTTCAAACTTTTCTAACATTTTCACAGTCACATTTCCAAATCTTTATATTTTTTTTATTGTAGGCTCATGCCTATGATCTTAGCTATGCAGGAGGCTGAGATCTTAGGATTATAGTTCAAAGCCAGCCTGAACTTTGAAGTCCATGAACACTTTCTTCAAGCAGCCACCAAAGGGGGGAAAAAAACTTGAAGAGGAACAATGGAGCATGTGGTAAATTGATGAGCCATTTTTTTATATGCTTATTTCACATCTGTGTGTTTTCTTTGGTGAGAGGAACAGATCTTTTTACTCATCTCTTAATTGGGCTAGTTATCTTTATTGTTGAGTTTTAGTTGTCCTTTATATCTTTTGGATACCAGCTTTTAATCATACATATGTTTTACAAAGATTTTCTCCCTAGTCATGGTTGTCTTTTGTTGTTTAATATTGTCTTTCATGAATAGGTTTAATTTTGATAAAGTCCAAATGACTTCTTTTTTTTTCTCCTTTCATGGATCATGCTTCTGATGCTGCAACTAGACTGTGTCATCAGGGGCCGCTATGGAAGGAGCTCACCCAGGACATTAGGTTTATCACAAAACCCTTTCCATGACTCACTTAATCTTTTCCATTTTAGTTTTGGGGAGGATATTTGACCTCATAGAATTAAAAGTCCTTTCTTACTTTCGCCAAACTGCTAAAGCCAATGAATATGCAAGTGAAGCCGTGTCCAAATTTGGGGCTCTGCTGACCACAGGGGACCCTATTTCTGAGTTATTGCTCTTGATCCCTTCACAGCTGTCTCTGGAAAGAGAAGAATGGAGGGCCAAGTTTCTTGGATGAGTCGCAGTCAGTTTTCTGCGGATGTGGTTGATCCCAGGACATACACAGCGAATTTATAAGAGACTAAGGAAAAGGCCCTGCCTTGAGGATAACATATTGAGGATTCCAGGGGTCAAGAAATGACCTCAGTTCACTTGGGAAACTTTCACTGGTGTGAACCAGAGGCCTGCATGGAGCAACAGGCCCTCTAAATGCCCCTCATGGTGTTATTTTATCTTTTAGACAAAGGAGCTTAAAGGCAAACATCTTGAAATACAACTCTGCCTCCACATTGGCTGGGATGAAGTGGAGGAGTTGGACGCTCTTTCCTTCTGCCAGCTTTGGTCCTGATCTTAGGATTTAACCATTCTTTTCAGTTTCACAGAGTCCAATAAGAGTATATACATATATTAATAAATCCTTATAGAAGTGGATTGTTCTCCTGGTCTTTAAGTCTCTAGAAGCCAATAAATTAAACATTAAACAGAGCCCCAGATTATCTGTCTTCCTTCTCTCTTAATGCGTCTGCAAGATCATGCATTATCTCACAAGATTGGAATGTGACAGATTCTATTTTAAGTCTTCTGATGATTCTTTCATTTAGCCTTTCTGAGAAGCAGAGTTCAGAAGAATTTGTGTAACTTAGACTGTCTGCAGTTCACTGCATCTCCCAGTCCTGGTTTCAAAGAGGTCAGTGTCTTTTTAGGGCCATATGGAGCCTCCAGTGTGTTCTCAGGAGAATGAAATCTTTGTGCTAAGAAACTATCTACAGAGCATCCTTGACAACTCTATTCAGCGACGTAGAGACATGCATTACCCAAAGAACTTTTTGAGTACTTAAATAGTAGGGCTGTTTCAGTGGACCCGATAAACCCTAAGTAATGAAGCTGTCCATTGATATGGAGACTGCTCATTGGCAATGAAACTAGCAGGCGGGGCCTCAAACAAGTATGCTGCCCCAACTTCTTGGAAAGCTAATGCTTCTCACTCTGTCTCCTTTACTGATATCTGCCATCACCGCCATCCATCTCCAGAACTTTTTCCTAAACTGAAACACTGTACCAATTAAACAATAACTCCTCAGTCTTCTACCCAGCCTTGGAAGTCACACACTGTTTTCCCTTTTTGTGACTGGCTCATTTCACTCAAGATTCACCTATGTTGTAGCATGTGACCGAATTTTCTTCCTTGTTATTTACAATCTCATTTTGTTTATCCTAATCCGTGCATCTGTGGACACTATCTATTGCGAATAATGCTGCTATGAATATGGGTACACAAACAGTACTTTGAGGTCTCTCTTCCTGATTTTCTTCTTGATATTGACTCTGTGCAACTGCTGGATTCTATGATCATTGTTTCTAATTTTTAGAGGGCTCATATGCTGTTTCCTGCAATGGTGATACCATTTTGCATTCTTACTAGCAGTATTTAGGAGTCCAGTTTTGCTATCTCTTTAACAACATTAAAAAAAAAACAGTTATCCTAAGTATGTGTCTTCTTGTGGTTTTTGTTTTCATTTTTCTAATGATTATGGGTTGAATATGGATTTCTTGGCCAATTGTATGTCTTTGGAGATGTCTATACAAGTTGTTTGTCCATTGGTTAGTTTGCTTTTGTTGAGTTGTAGATTAAAAAAAATACTCTGGATGTCAATCCCTTTTCAGATTTTTTTCAGAATATTCTCTCCCATTCTCCTTTTCACTCTATTGATTTTGTGTATATCTGTGTGTGTGTGTGTGTGTGTGTGTGTGTGTGTGTGTGTGTGTAATGTTGGTCATATTTCAGAAGCAAAATGTTTAGAAATGGCAGAAATAGGTATTTCATAGACCTGAGCTTTACCACAAATTAGGGCCTTTGATTTGTGTTTTTTTTTTATTCCCTCCTGCCTCCACAACTACATTCCCCCTCCCCCAGCCTAAATTGTAAAGTTCATTTTTCAACATAGTTTCTTGTGCATCTCATTGTTACAATGGGTCAACCTGTATCTCTATTTAAACATTTTGTTTTTTCCCTTCCCCTCTCAAATTAGACTGACATCAAATACAGTGAAAACAGGGGTTATACCATGGGGGAGGAACATACAAAGCAACAACAACAAAAATCACATGGTACCTTATAAACACGTTAGAAACAATAGCAAGCAAGAAAAAACCACTTATGTCCCTATCTTGGGATTCATTTCGCTTAACTTCATCTTATCTGGTCATATATACATAGCTTTTGACATTTTCTACTTGTCCCAGACATATCCTCGTTATTGCAAATAAGGGAAACCATGGGACCTACGTTTCTTTGGGCCTGGCTTACTTCACTTAATATAATTTTTTCCAAGTCCTTCCATTTCCTAACAAATGGGGCCTTTGGTTTGTTTTTAACTGTTGCTGTTTTCTATTTTAACTGTCACAGAGGTGATTGTTTGTACCATGAAGATGGAGCAACTTTTGGAAAGGCCTATTAAAAACCTCAAGACTATCAGACTAGGGTAAATGAATTCTTTGTTATACTAATAATCCTGCTTTTGTGATGTGATTTTATATGAAGAAAATAGAATGTTGGTCCTTGTAAGATGAACATGGGATTTGAGTGTCAACCAAAAGGATACTGAAATTAGAGTTTTAGATCCCAGGCTGATACTCATGTCCAGCCACTTGTCTATATCAATGGGCTAAATAGACAGTAATGTTGAAGGGAAGAAGGCATGAAGGATGGGGGAAGTGACTCCCAAAGGGGAATAGCTTTGCCTCTCCCCATTGCTATGAGGATTACATGCAGCAGTGGAGATAAGGTGCCTTCAACTTCTCTGACCACATAAAGGGTTCAATCCTGAACCAGTTTTTTTCTTTCATCTCATTTCTCTTCTCCTTCAGTCCCCCCTGCTCATTGTTAGCTTTAAGAGAAAGACAGAAATCTAGAAGCATTACTCATACCCCCCTTCCACCCTCCTATAAAGATATAGTTTGTTTCTTCCACTCCAGGTTACTTTTTGGACTTGTATAGTCCTAGTTTCCACAGAGCACTTGGGATTTCCTTGACTTCGCCAAAAAGTCCTTGATTTAAATTGGAGAATATATTTTTATGGCTAGTCCATTGATGTCAACTATGAACAAAAAGCTGAGAAATCCTGAGGGGAGGGGAGTATGCTATTTTTACAATATCCTGCTCCAAAAATCATTTGTCTCAGTGGCATGACAGTCTCTCCACAGAGACCTCCACAGAGCAGCAGTGGCCCCGGGCGGCTCTCCACCAATGGCTGGCTGTGAGCTGTGAACTCCACAAGATGTTTCTCGCCATCAGCGCATGACTTCAGTTTTTCCATTCCCACTGTGGTGAAAATGAACGAGAAAACTGGACCCTGCCTCAGGAAGCAGCATACAGGCTCCACACCAATCAAAGCAGGAAGATACTGTGCTAGATACTACTTCATTTTCCAGACTTTGAAGAATTCTTACATTTGTCAGAGTAGCTCTGAATCATTTTATGGTTGTTACTGGATTAGAATGGGGATATTATACATGCCTGACCCTTTGCAGGAAAAGTCCCTCTCCCTTTTCATGAGCTCTTCCTGCTTCCTGAGCTAATCTCATACTTTCACTTCTTTGTCTTCTAATCATTTTACCAACATGCATTTTAAAGGAAGAGAGGCTGGGATTTAAAATAAAAATAGAGGGGACAAAGTTATGGCTGCACATAACATATATGCATATGTTACATATATATACATATATGTGTGTGTATGTGTATATACATGTATATACATGTTGCATATTGTCCTTAACACATGAACTCTTGAATATAACAAAAGTCTTATTTTCCCTAAGTATCTATCTCCAGCAGATTCTCTTAGGTTTTATCAGCACCATCAACTCTTCTGGCTTTCTTGGACTTCAACTCTTCTCTAAGCAGACTTCAGCTGCTTATGTTTTGGCCTTGTAAGCCATTCATTGATTCATTAGTTAATATTTATTTTTGGGTTGGTGCTGGGGTTTGAACTCAGGCCTCCCATCCTATTCCCAGCCATTAAAAAAAATCTGTTTACCTGTCTAACCTATACACATAGGCACTGTTATTTCTATTTCTCTGTAGAATCTTAATTGTGGACACATAGGCACTGTTATTTCTATTTCTCTGTAGAATCTTAATTGTGGACAAGTGATTCTGAGAGGTAATAAATGTGTTCATGCCTTTTCTAATAAGCACCATAACTGAGGAGTGTGGATTACAAGGCCAAAGAATCCAGTGAATACACTGGGCTCGTATAGATGACCTAGGGTCATCTCCTAGTGCAAGTCTTAATCACATGTACAAAGCCTTCTCTGACAAAGGGTACAGTTACAGGTTCCAGTGATTGCATGGGGATGTTTCTGGTGGTGATAGCAGCACAATTTATACCTGATCACCAGAGTTAATCATCCACACATGGGAGACATCTAAGGACAGGCCACTCGCTCCTGCTCTCTTCAAGTGACAACTTCTCTGGACTTCCTCCACGAAAACCAAAATACTGTTCAACCAGGCCGCATGCTTGTTCCTTGGGACTTCTATATGTATCTTTTTACTCCCTGTCTCCATGTTTTGTAGGTGGTTCTTAAGTTTTCAAATTCATTCAGGCAGGCCAAGAAGATTTGAGACATGGAAGGGAAGAAGGTCATGCTTTTATCCACAGGCTCTGCTATTCGCAGACTCAGTGGCAGCAGTAGTGCACAACCCAACAGCATGCTGTTCACTGGCCCATCATAGTGAAGACTCATAGACTTTGCCTGGCAACACCAGGTTCACATTCTGTCCACCAGTGGAATCACCCATCACACTCTGTACACACTCTGTGCCTCTTAATACCCCTATAGACAAAAGTGGCATTGGCCAAGTAGCCACACAACACAGGGTAACCTACGGTAATGAATGCATCTATGACTTGAAGTGACATAGAAGTACAGGCCCAGGGCCTTCTGAGATTACAGTGAACGAAGTCTGATTTACTCCATTTTCTCCTCACCCTAATTCTCCCTATTTAACCTAAGACCAATGTCTATACCAGGGAAGATATAAAACTTAACTATGTAACTTGAGGATAAAGCTGGGAAGGGGAAATAGGGGAGAATGATGGGAGGGGTGACATTGATCATACTCATGTCCTGACTTATGGTATTGTAACTTTTTTTTCAGTCATGGAGCTTGAACTCAGGGCCTGATACTGTCCCTGAGCTTTTTGCTTAAGGATAGCACTCTACCACTTTCAGCCACAGCTCCACTTCCAGTTTTCTGGTGGTTAATTGGAGATAAGAGTCTCAGAGAGACTTTCCCACCCAGGCTAGCTTTGAACTGCAATCCTCAGATTTCAGCCTCCTGAGTAGGTAGGTGAGGTGTGAGCCACCAGAGCTCAGAATGTAACCTCTTTGTATAACCACTTAATTGTAAAGTTAAAATAAGAAAAAAAAGAAAAGAGTCACTGAGTTGTCAGGGCCTCCAGACTTGCTTCTAGTTGTCTAGTGATGCCTCTTTAGACACAAGAACTTCAAACAATACTCAAGACTTTGTCTAGAGCTCAAGAATGATTTATTGTTCCCATTCCAAGGACGTTTTCTCCCCCATACTTATAATCTTGTCCCTTCTTTTCTTTCTCTTCCTTCTCTTCTTCCTCAGCTCTAAAAGTCTCATTATATAAGATTGTGTTTGTTTCAGTCAATCCAGCTCTTCTTGTTCAAATATCTCAGTCATTGCAAGAGCTGTCAGAGATCTGTGGCTCTATCACTTCATGGTCTGTTTCTGTTTTCTTCTTTCTTTCTTTAAGGCTTGAATTTACAAAGATAAGTTTTCTTTCCTGTTTTTCAGCATCAAATAAACTGCCATTATGGCAAAGGCACTCAACCAAGTTAATGCCCCTGTTACTGTGTAGACAAGCCCCAAGAAAAGGCTATCACCTCCACTCCATGTCAGGGTGGACAGGACGACAGATTTCTCTCCTTGGAACCTGGTGACTGGAAAATATAAGAAGCCTTGTTAAGGATCTGTCTCAGCACACCTTATCTCTACCACTGCATATACCAAAAAGGTAGTTTAAAGCATGTGAAATTGCTCTCTTTTTTGCAGGCAAAATATTGGTTGAATATTTACTTTTATATGGTTCAACACAATGATGCAGTGCTCTTTATCTTGCTAGAATAAAATTAATTAAAAAGCTGGGTGCTGGGCTCATACCTCTATTCCTAGCTACTCAGGAAGCTGAGATCTGAAGATTATGGTTAGAAGTCAGCCTGAGCAAGAAAGTCCGTGAGAGTCTTATCTCTACTTAACCACCAGAAAAGTGGTGTTATGGCTCAAAGCGGTAGAGTACTATACTAGCCTTGAGCAAAAGAGCTCAGGGACAATGACCAGCCCCTGAGTTCAAGCCTCACGACCAACAAAAAATTAAAAAATTAAAAAACTAAATAACAACAAGCTTTCTCTCTACATAGATGTAATCTACAAGCGATTCAGACACAGATAGATCTGAATGACTTGTTTTTCATCATTCGTCACTTCTTGGATGGATCCAAGGAAGGTAAAATAAATATAGTTTTTTTTGTTGTTGTTTTTTACAGCAAACCTGAACTTAGTTAGGCTCAGGAGAAATGAAGTTAGTTCCTGAATAAGTTGAAGCTGGATCAAATTCCTACTTCAGGGGAAATTCTTCAAGAGTGAAAAACAGTTACAGCAAAAATAATTAAAAGTAAAAGTAGGATAGATGGTAAAGCATTTTTGGTGAGAAAACTAAAGATGTTGCGTTGGCCTTTGTTTGGAAAAGGCCAGCATCCCTGCTGCTGGTGAGAAAATATTTGAAGTGAGTTTGCTATCGTTAGCATTTTAATGACATCATCTCTAATATGCATGTGGCTTGAGGTTTTCAAACATCTGGTCCTTTTTGTAAACGAAACTAATAAACAAACAAAGATTTCTCATAGCAACGGCAGGGGTCAGAGGCATTTCCCAGCAAAGCTCTTAAAAGGCCTCACTCAAATCACTTGGCAACATGCTATTTAAAGGCACAAGGAAACTTGTTAGGAAACTAGCTGTCTTTTTTCTTTTACATCAGAATTCCTTATTGTCACCAGGTCCTTGAGTGCAACCTCAACCCATCTGCCTGCCTGTATTCTCCCTTTCCATTCCAGCTTCATTTGAATGGGAGGGTTTTTAGGATGGCTTTTATCCCTCAGCCTTGGCCTAATTCTTATTAGCTGGCACACTAGGCTGGTCACACCAGGCCCACACACGGTGCAAGTGGAGGCCTGGAACTCATGACTGAAGCTGTGCATGGCAGATATAGACTTGAAAGTGATCAGTATTAAAGGAAATCGAGTTCACAAACAGGCAGCTTCCTCATCCTCTGAACTCCCATTTTCTTCCTGAAAACAAGAGATCAGCCTCTCTCATGAAAGCTTCTGTACCAGAAGAAACATTTTTATAAATCATTAGAGACTAAGATTTGAGGCCAAAGAAATCTGTGCAAAGAAACCTAGTTAATCTAATCATCATCTTTCTTGTTATTTTCTGTAATTGACACTTTTTTTTCTTTCTTGCCGGCCCTGGGCCTTGAACTTAATGCTCAAGGCTAGCATTCTACCACTTGAGCCACAGCACCACTTCTGGCTTTCCTATTTATGTGGTACTGAGGAATTGAACCCAGTGCTTCATGCATGCTAGGCAAGCGCTCTACTACTAAGCCACAGTCCCAGCCTCTAATTGACAATCTCCTCCACCCCCCAATCATGGGCCTGAACTCTGGGCCTGAGTGCTGTCCCTCAGCTCTTCAGCTCAAGGCTAGAGCTCTACCACTTGAGCCACAGTACCACTTCTAGATTTTTCTGCTTATGTGGTGCTGAGGAATTGAACCCAGGGCCTCATGCATGCAAGGCAAGCACTCTTCCACTGAGCCACCTTCCCACCCATAATTGACAATCTTTTAAACCCACTGTAGAAGCACTCAGGCTTAGTCCCTTTTTCAGGTCATCATTTTTTCTTGTGAGAGTTCTTATGTAAATGTAAATAAAATGTGCTGTTTTCCCCATTACTCTGTCTCATACTAGTCCCAGGTAGAGACCCCAAAAGAGCAGAGGGAAATGTTTTCTTTTAGACAAGATTATAAGGGAACTCCTCCATACAAATATAAGAGAATTATACACATTTTTTTTCTGGTAAAAGTACTTGATTGGAGAATAGACTAGAATGAAAGAATTCAACAACCACTAGCCTTCTTTCTGAAGGAGAAAGAAAAGTAATACAAAGGATACTATAAGATATGTTGAAACTGTAGTTTCCAGCAGGTAAGCCTTCTTTAAAGTAGTGTTCTCGTGAGAGCCGGCGGTAGAGTTTTTTGAAAGTAGGAAAGGCAGCTGTCCGCATCCACACAATAAAATCTTCATTGATGAAGCCATTGTTTCCTGGGTCCTCTCTATCTAGTTCATAGATAGGTACAGACCAGGATGGGGGCTTTGCACTTCCTGAGAAAAGACAAGGAATATGACAGAGAAACATCATCCCTAGAAATTAGAGTTAAAAAAAATCTAAGTGTGGGGGCTTGGGAAGGTGGCTCAGTGGTAGAGTGCTTGCCTTGCATGCATGAGGCCCTGGGTTCGATTCCTCAGCCCCACATAAGCAGAAGAAGTCAGAAGTGGCGCTGTGGCTCAAGTGGTAGAGTACTAGCCTTGAGCTGAAGAGCTGAGGGACAGTGCCCAGGCCCAGAGTTCAAGTCCCACGACCGACAAAAAAAAAAATCTAAGTGTGGGTGTTGGAGGCATGGCTTAATTGGTGTAGTGCTAACAAATGAATAAAAGCAGTCAGGTACTAAGTTCAAGTCTTGGTCTCAGAACTAAAAGAAAAAAGAAAAAACTCAGTGTGTATGTAACCTGATTTTTATACCATTAATAATAATGTTTTTAAAGACTCTAAGGAAAATTTCATAATTTTATAGGGTTTAAAAAAAGAGTAGAGGTCAGGCACTGGTGGCTCACGCCTGTAATCCTAGCTACTCAGGAGGCTGAGATCTGAGAATCATGGTTCAAAGCCAGCCTGGGCAGGAAAGTCTGTGAGACTCTTATCTCCAATCAACCACCAGAAAACCAGAAGTGGTGTTGTGGCTTAAGTGGTAGAGCGCTCACTTTGAGCTGAAGAGCTGAGGGACAGCGCCCAGGCCCAGAGTTCAAGCCCCATGACTGACAAAAAAAGAAGAGTAGAAGCCAGGCAATTTTGGCTCACACCTGTAATTCTAGACACTCAGGAGGCTGAGATCTGGGGATAATGTTTCAAAGCCAGCCTGGGCACGAAAGTTTGTGGGACTCCTATCTCCAATTAACTACCATAAAGCTAGAAGTGGAGCTGTGGCCCAAGTGGTAGAGCACTAGTCTTGAGCACAAAAGCTAGGCACAGTGTCCAGGCCCTGAGTTCAAGCCCTAGGCCCAGGACAAAAATTAAAAATAAATACAGTGGGATATTAAATTTTATGGACATCTTCAACTACAGTAAAACATTGAAAAGGGTAGAACAAAATAAAAAGAATGAGGTTGTTCTTTATAATAGAAAATATATTTTCCTCCCTGAGATAGGATCTGGCTATGTAGCCCAGCTTAGCCTTGAACTCACAGTCTTCCTGCCCCTCCCTTTGTGGAAGATAGAGGAAAAATAATCTCATTTCTTTAAATTCACTATTAGTCCAAAGAGAGCAAATGAAAACCAGAAACACACAACTTTAAAGTAAAAAAGAGTGACAACCACTATGAGGGTATGGAAGTGGAACTCTTGTTCGGAGCAGATATGTGGATGAACATCTTAGCATTCTAGAAACATTCATGAAAAGTGTTACTGTTTTCTGAATTTTGGTCCAGAAACTCAACTTCTAGGAATGCAGTCTAAAGAAACACCACAGAGGGCTGGGAAGGTGGCTCAGTGGTAGAGCGCTTGCCTTGCATGCTTGAGGCCCTGGGTTCAATTCCTCAGCACCACATAAGCAGAAAAAAAAAAAGCTGGAAGTGGTGCTGTGGCTCAAGTGGTAGAGCGCTAGCCTTGAGCTGAAGAGCTGAGGGACAGCGCCCGGGCCCAGAGTTCAGGCCCCACAACTGGACGCCCCCCCCCCAAAAAAAAGAAACACCACAGAAGGGTGCAAAGATGGGGCTGCACAGATGTTCAACTCTGTGCTGCCTCTGGGAAGCTGTGGCAGGACAGGGAGGAGGCGGCCAGCATTAGCATCTCAGCCCAGTGTGAATCAGGAAGTGTGGTCCAGCTTGGGCTATGGCACAGACTAAGAAGGATAAGGTGCAGGGTGGTGCTAGAAGGCACATCTGTTGGTGTTAGCCTCATAGCCATGAGCATGTCTGTCTCTTCTGTTCTACACGGAACTCCTTCAAACAGTATTGCCCTCATCTATTTTTTTTTTCTTTAGCAGTTGGTCCAGTGTCTGACACATAGCAGCTGTTCAATAAATGCTTGATAAAGGAAGGGATGAAAGATTCCAATTAAATCTGTTCAAGTGGATAATAAAAACCATATTGAATTTTAAAGCTCTAATCAACAAGAGTAAGTTGTTTCATAGACCTTTTCCTACCACACAGTTTGTTCTGTTAGTAAGATGTCCAAATGGACTTATTTTCTAAGTATGGCTACAGTGCTGGTCAAAGTTCACATTAAGTTTGGTTTGAGTAACCTGCTGAAGAATGCTTGTACACACTTCTACTTCCTCTAGGCAGACTTCTTGGCTGGAGGACCTTCCTTGGTGTATATTGTAGAACTCACATAGTTTTTAGCTCTTCCCCAAATATCAATCATTGTTGTTTGAGCATTTGATCAAAATCACCAACTACCTTTGGTGTCTGCACTCTGACTTCACCATCTTTTTACTTTTTGGTGTAAGTCATTGTGAATTCCAAATGTGTGTGGTATGGGACCTTAATGTCAGAATGACCCAGACTTGTGAAAAACACATGCTCAAAGTTGCCTCTCTTAAACTCCAATCCTACTCCCTGCCATGTATCTAAAAGGTACGAGAAGCATATTTTAAGAAACATAAACTTCAGTTGGGTTGTTTGAATTCATCCATTTATTCAACAATATTGTCTTGATTTCTCATGCACAGGGATGCAAACCTGCTGGAGATCCAATCACTGTTTTCAAAACAATTCACGGAGATGCTAACAGAATACAATGTGGTAACTCTTGCAATAGAGACTAGAACAAAGTATAGCAGAAGATGGGAGAAAGCCAAGACCCTGTATGTTATAGGCTTATGGTTTTGTGGTAAGACAGAATAGTACAATGTCATCAAGTTGCTTTCAAAAGCTGGGAATGCAATGATAAGACACAGTGATGATACATGCGAGCTTGTCCAGGACAGACCCGGTGTATGTCTGTTGTACATTATCCCATCTGATTTTGCATTTACTCCAAATAAATAGTGTGCCTACAGTTTTATTCTTCCAGTTTCCAGTCATAGGCTCAGCGAACAGTGTGTGAGATTTGCCCATGTGCAGTGGGCTGGGTGCTTACTTCACTTGAGATCATACGTGAGAGATAAGCAGAGACATTTTCAGTCAAAACACAATGTTACATATCCCCGTGACTCTTGCCAGCTTTTTAACATTCCAACCAGCTAGCTCACACTTTGTGTCTTGGCCCGTGAGCTGTGTGGTGCTGCCAGGGTGCAAATCAGCAGGGTCAATGGCAAACGTGGGAAACCGCAAGTCTGCATATATGTGCATGATATGCGGATGGGTGCTGACAGGAGTTTGAACTCTGTTGGAACAGTGACTTTTTATTTATAACATGCCATATATATATTTGTTGTTATTACTTTCTTAATTCCATTTAGTTATGCAGGGCTAATAAAAACCCAAATGTGTGTTTAATGTAAAGTACAGTTTCTTAAGAAAGTTGATGAATATGATACCAAAAATGTTGGTTGACCTTGCTCACCCACAGGCCACAGTGGTGTGAATCACCATGTAAGGATGGAAAGGTATAACTCTGTTGAAGAAAATCAGAACCTACTTCAAAAGTTTGTGGATAACCATGCATGGTAGTGCTCAACTGTAATTCCAGCACTCGGGAGGCTAGGGCAGGAGGATTGACATTTCAAGGCCAGACTGTGCTATGCAGAGAGTTTGGGACTCATCTCAGCTACATAGCAAGATCCTGCCTCAAAGAAGAAAGAAATGTTTGAGGTTAGTTTTAAAAGATTGTATCTGGAAAATGGATAAACTCTTAGACCCACTTGTATATCAGTCTGTGACAGCATGACTTCTTTTAATAATATTTTTATTGAGATTAAGTGATTACATAAATTTCACAGTATTGTAGGATAGTGATAGTTAAAGTCACAAACACATTTTAATTTTCACGAGGTACATTGTCATGTGGCTCAAGTGGTAGAGTGCTAGCCTTGAACAAAAAAAGCTAAGGGACAGTGCCCAGGCCCTGAGTTCAAGCCCCAGGACTGGCAAAAAAAAAAAAAAAAGAGGAAAAGAAACCCAGCATGACTTGTTATTGGTATCAAATGGAATTTCCTTCAGTTTTCACCTTTTTCTTTTTTTTTTTTAAAGACATCTCACTATGTTGGTTCAGTCTCATCTCAAATTTTCAGTCTTCTTGAAGCATCCCAACCTCTGGGATTACAAATGTGCACAACCATGCTGATCTAGTTTCAGTGTTTTAATTTTTACTCACTTTTGGTAATTAAAGAAAAACTTTTAACACGTTGTCTCCACTGGCAAACAAGAACTTTTTAAAGAGTTAAATGAGGACACTTAACATGAAATTTTTCAAATAGAAAAATCAGGTTAATTATAGTTAATTATAATAATGGTTTGACTGGGGGATGGCATATCTGCTAAAAATTCATGAAGATGAAACTTTTGTCATTGTTATCAAGGTTACTAAAAACTTAGTTAAAATCTTTAAATGGAGCCAGGTGCTGGTGGCTCCAGTCTGTAATCCTAGCTACTCAGGAGGCTGAGATCTGAGGATTAAGGTTCAAAGCCAGCATGGGCAAGAATGTCTCTGAAACTCTCCAAATAACCACTTCTGGTTGTGGTGCTGTGGCTCAAGTGGTAGAGTTCTTGCCTTGCTTGAGCTGAAGAGCTCAGGGATAGCACCCAGGCCCAGAGTTCAAGTGCTGTGACTGACAACAACAACAAACCAAGTTTAAATGGTTTGGTTTTGTAGAATAATATAAATGCAAATTTGATGGAGAATAACATAGACAAAAGGTAATGCTCTTTGTAAACTGAGAAATCAACAAAAATCAATATACTGAATATGATTAAAATTTGTTGTGGTACATAAATAATTCACAATTTTACACAGCTCCATTTCTAGCTTACAGTGATTAATTGGAAATGTGAGTCTCATAAGCTTTTGTGCCTCAGATCTCAGCCTCCTGAGTAGCTAGGATTATAGGTGTGATCTACCAGCACCTGGCCAAGATCTGCAGTTTCTTTTCTTTTTGCTTATGTGGTGCTGAGGAATGGAACCCAAGGCCTCAAGGCATGCAAGGCAAGCGCTCTACCACTGAGACACCTTCCCAGCCCAAGATCTGCATTTTTTGAAAGTACATTTTAGTATACCTATTTCATAGATCTCTCAATGTGATGTCAATTTAGGAATCAATAACTGAAAGTTGCAAGTAAGTATATTGTTCTAATACCTTCTTTTTCTTTCAAAAATACATATAAGCTTGGATAGTAAATTATATGATCATTTTAACTGTATACAAAGCAAGAAGTTTCTCAAGCACTGCCCTCCCACCCATGGGGGAGGAAGCAGTGTTTCTAGAATTTGAACTTGGAGCTTCCTATTTGTCAACCAGGTGCTCTCTACCTCTTGAAGCACACTCCCCATTTGCCAGCCTCAAATCAACTTTGTCTTGGTGGCAAAGTAGAAGGGACAGGGAACAGATCACTCATATTTCTTACAGGCACTGAACAGAGTAGCCCATGGTGGGGAAGTCAGTGCAAAGGAAGTCAATAAAGAAGGAAGACTCATAAGCTTCTCCCCCCCCAAATAAAACAAATATTTCATATAAAATAAGAATACTGGGGGGCTGGGAAGGTAGCTCAGTGGTAGAGCGCTTGCCTTGCATGCATGAGGCCCTGGGTTCAATTCCTCAGCACCACATAAGCAAAAAAGAAAAAAGCC